TAACGATCCATTCTTGTCATGCGCCTCTCCTCGCCTTGCTGGGAAGAACTGGCTCTCTAGATTAGGAGGCTCGACCAAATTAATTTTGCTTTTTAAGGACATTATACGTCGCCCGGTGGCATACCCAGAGAACAGTCCAAGATTCAAATGATGCAATACCTTGCCCAGGGAAAAGCTAACCGATCGCACCAGATTGTTGGGCTCACGACTTGCGCTCGAGTGTTCTCTGTGCGTGATCTGCCACACACCATGGTAGATATCCGGGCCAACACGACTGTCCGGTCTTTTCGGGGTCAGGTCGTTTGACCGCATGGTGCGTGACCCGCACTGCTGAGCTGTAGGCTCGGTTTCGCTTCCCGCTTTGCACCTCTTTCGAAGTTTGCCAATTAAGTTGTGTCCGTGTTGGTTGGCTGCGACGGCTGCATTGCGTTTATGCTGTAACATTGCCGGCAAACCACGCTCGATCAAACATCCCGCGTGCAAAGTCAAGAGATAGGTACACTGTTTAAAGACATAGCGGCCTGTTGCTAAAGATTGCACGGAGCTGCGGTCCTCGGTTGCAAAGATAGCTGGCAACCGTGACGGTTGAGCCGGACCAGGCCCATCAGGTCGAGACTATTCCGGCAGCTGATTTAAGTCTCACTCGACCCCGCCCCCCTCGCTCGTAAACTGATCGTGCATTTGGACGAGGGCGACGACGGCGTCCGAATGCCTTTTGCGCCCTTTTGTATATGTAATGTCATAACCGGAATGGGCGTGGCAGCCGAGGCGGCCTGCGATTGGTCAGATTCGCCGCGCTTTGAGTTCTCAGTCGGCGGATCGCTGGCGACGCTGAAGGGCCGCGCGCTCTTTGCGACACCCGTCACTTCCTCGGGGCGGCGGCACTGGTCTGACCACGTCACACGGAGCTGGCGCGCGAGACGACCGTGGATACCCGCGCACTGTAAATCCCCAAACCAGTCACCATCATCAGCAGCATCGTCACCAGCGGCGCGGGCATGACGGAGCGTCAGAGTTGAGCGGGGCTCGACAGAGCACGCGCCAGGCCGGTCGGGTTGTTGCTGCGCTGGCCAGTGTGGTATGCTCGCGCTGGCGGCAGTAGCGCGCCACTAATGCCTCCTAATGGCCCATTAACACAATTTTATGTACTTTTACGGCGCGGAATCGACAAAAACAGCAATTGCGCAGGATGGCGCGCGCCGGAATTACACGTTTCCTTGACATCCTATGGATTCTGGTCATCGTTTTTATGAGGCGGCTCTGCGTACAGCCGCCGCCGACTGCTGGTTAAGTGGGTGGGGTGTATTGGGCGCAGGCATCACGCAGGCTGACACGCCTGTTCGGCGGAGCTTTAACGAGGAGCCTTTGTCTTAAACTTGCTATTTATTGCTTGCGCGACGCCCTTCGTGGCGCGGAACGAGTGAGGTAAAACCAGGCATGAGAGCTACCATCTTGCAAATGACAACAAAACATGAGCGAATGGAACCCGTCGCCTTGTACAACCCGCGCTAGTGTGTATTTACGACTGAATTGGGATGTCGTATGTCGATATCGATATCGATATCGATATCAGGCGTTCATCCCACACATGCGGAGGAGGAGGTTCAAGGCGATTCGTCTGTAGGTGGGCATGCAGCAAAGATGCAACAGGATAAAGATGGACTGATGTCTAACGTTCCCTTTCAAATTTTCAGATCGCAGTGGTTGGAGTGTGCGCTCTGTTGGTTGTTTGTAGATTCACCCACAGCGATCAATTCGACATGCGTTTTTCGGGGCTTTCACGGCACTAAGGTTCGAAAGAATCAATGATTTTTTCCGTGTCACGTTCGGAAACAAGATCATCCAGTAAGACACACAGCAAACGCATAGTTCAGGGAAGGACAGCAATAATCGGGTCGGTAGTCGTGATGAGAATGTTGGAGACGAACTCCAAGCTTACTAACGGGGTGCGAAATGACTACTGCGGTCGGCACGCTCTAACATGGGAGCAAACAGCACGATCGCGAACGCGCTCGTTGCCGATTGCAATGTACGTTGAGTGCATGTAAGTTGTGCGTCGTGCATGTGGCATTGGAAAACCCTGGCACAAGCTGAAAAGATAATGGGATAATGAGTATGGAAGTATGATGTATGAAGTTGCGAGTATGAGTATGAATTGGCATATTGAGGTGCTGAAGTGAAAGGTGCGAAATGAGGTGGACAGCATTGGCAAGGGGCCGCCAAATTCTGTTGTGGTTCTATTCACCCCGCATTTGTAGCTCGTAAATGTTATAGTCTCCGTGGTCACAGAGGTCGTGACCACCGAGCCACGTCAGACCTCGTGACGCGCGCTAGTTGGTGCCCAGGCTTCGCGGTAAATCACGTGTAACGTGATGCTGCGTCGCTTCTGTGACGCACGTGATACGAAACTGGGGCTGTAAACGAAACCGTGAACTCCCATTGCTGGTGGATATTCCACCAGTGCAGCAGCGGCGAGGGTCCTGGAACAGCACGGGTCTGTTCCATGAGAGTGCCTTTTCGTCGGGCGCGGGGGGCGGGACATCGCGTCATTGTCATAAACCATGAGTAATTGTTTGACGGGAGTGTGTCATCAGACTGGGATAGCGGCAAACGCCCATCCCAAGGGAGGGGAGCGAGCACCCAGCGCGTGATTCCCACCAGCTGCCACCCTCTTTGCCGGCCTGCGGCTTCTGCGGGCCCTGCTGAGAGTGTGCGCCAGTTGACCTCGGGTGCCACATGCGTGACATGATGCCCTGGATGTCACCACACCTGCTCGCGACGTTTCAGAATGTTCGTTTGAACGTGTCACAGAATATGACCTTGGCATAACCTACCTGACGGTATGGCGGCGGATAGATCGCGTGACCCTTCCTGAGACTGTGTGACCCCGCCCAGCAGCGCTGGCTGACTGCGTGACCCCCACCCCAGACTTTGTGACTCCACCCAGCAGCGCTGGCTCAAGCCGCATGACCCCCACCTCAGACTGTGACCTCACGTCAGGCTGTGTGACCCCACCTCAGACTGTGTGACCCCACCCAGCAGCGCTGGCTGACCGCGTGACCCCCACATCGGACTGTGTGACCCCACCCAGCAGCGCCGGCTCAGACCTCGTGATCCCCACCTCAGACTGCGTGACCTCACGTCAGACTGTATGACCCCATCTCAGACTGTGTGACCCCACCCAGCAGTGCCGGCTCAGACCGCGTGACCCCCACCTCAGACTGTGACCTCAGGTCAGACTGTGTGACCCCACCTCAGACTGTGTGACCCCAGCCGGCGGCGCTGTTTCAGACTGCGCGTCGGCCTGCTGAACGAGGAGATGCGCGACGCGGACGTGGGCAACGGCGACGACGATACGTTCCACCAGGTGGTCAAGGACTTCTCGCGCATGGCGCACGACGCGCCGGAGAAACTGAGTCGTCGCTCGGGCCACGAGCAGGGCGAGCCGCAGCCGTAGCCGGCCGGGCCGACCGGCTCGGCCCTCCTGTGATCCCGCACCAAATGGCGGCGCTCCGGGCGCCGCGCTGAAGAGATCTGCCCGCTGCTACGGCGTCGACCGGCGGCTGTGTTGTGTAGAGTAGCCCGGCCCTGGCCGGCTCCAGGAGACCGCGTGAGAGGTGGCTAGGCCGCCTCACGGCGAGCGGCTCGTGGGACGGCCACTGACCCTCATGTCCCGGTTTGCGGTCTGCTGAACCGTCTCAGGGCCGGTCCGTAGGGTAAAGAGCAGGCCTATTTATATAGCACCGGTTGCTGGTATATATGCCGGCACGTACACTAATCGTGCCTTTCTATAATGCTTCAGCGATATAAGTATATGTATAACGCTGGATGGGATTATGAGCTTGGTGCTCCGATTCGTGTGGGTTGTTTTTTTGGCGGGGGGAGGGTGCTGCAAAGGTAATATGTGGCAAGACTACGCACCATATCGCGCCGGCTGGCGTACCTGTTGTGAGACAAGAGATAATGGCGACCTAGCATAGCTCACTCCGCAAGCTTGTGCCTGACTATGTTCCTCGGTTATATATCGTTTGGTCTCACGCACGGACTAGCGCTCCGCTGTCGACGCTGAGCAGCCGCCTGCTGCCCTCCAAATGCTCTCGGACGTGGTTGCCTGTCGCACGGTTCGGCGGCGCGTTGCTTCGTCTTACGCCTTGACGCGAATGTTCTCAACCGAATGCTTGTGCGCTGCCCGCGCGCGCGCGCGCCTTCCGCCTTTGCCCCGCCCCTGCTGAGCTGTGTCGACTGCGCGCGGCCAGGTTGTGACTGTGTACGTGGAACGGTACTTAGGTGTGGCCGGTGTTTTTTTTTTTTAGCCCGGCTGGACCAATGAGCCGGCGTCCAGCGCCCAAGTGTCAATGCGCATCCCCGCGGACCATGACTTCCCATATGCATGTAACCCAGGTCAATATACGCGTGAAATGATGGCGGTTTTCGCTTTTTAGGGAGCTGGTGCGTGGTTCTGCCTGGTGACGCGCGGGAAGACAGCAATGGCTGTGCGTGATGCCTGCGTGTTTATTTACCTGCCTCCACCCTCCGGAACGCCCACCTACCTCTGCCAACTAGTGTTCCGCCCTGCTCCAGTCCGATCAGCAACCGCCTGAAACCGAATCAGATGGCCGGCATTTACGCAAGTTACGTCACGAGTTCGCTCAAAACAACACGTTCATTGAGCTCATGTTTTAGGTCACTCTTTGACACCAGGCGACCGCTGCTTGCTGTTTGAAAACAGACCCCCCCCCCCCCCCTTTCCCCCGGCCCTGAATGGGACGCAGCGACGAGACAGACAGTCAAGCGCCAGGGTGTCACCCGACAGGGCCTCCGGGCGGCGCTGCGCCACGTGCGCCCGCGCCTCCCATTGCCGGCGATCAGCCAGCGCCGGCCCAGCCGGGCGCGGCGCGCGCCAATGGGCGGCGGCCGTCGCCGCGCGCGCGCCGCACACACACGTCTGTCGCCGGCTATATAAACGGCTGCACGTGGCTGCTCGGCAGGCGAGACGCGAGCAGCGTGACCACGCGGCCCGGCAGTCGACTAACTGGTGATACCTCCGAGACCGGCCACAGATGGAGGACGGCGACAGACGACAGGGCGGCGCGCTCGGTGCCTGCCTGCTGACCACGCTGCTGCTGCTGCTGCTGGCGTCGGCCACCTCGGCCCTCAGCCTGCAGGTGAGAGGCGAGCCTCCCGCCGGCGCGCTCCCAGCGAGATGACGCAGCAGATCCACCGCGGGGCGCGCTGCGTGCGGAGGTGGACCCCGGCCCGGCTGCCGGTCCCCGATGGCCCGGCGAGCCGCGGCAGACATTGCCGCAGCCCGCTCGTGACCCCGCCCGTGGCTCGTGTGCTGCTCACGCGCTGGGTGGAGGCCTGAGGGGACCCAGCGTGCCTGCCGGGCTGGGACGGGTGTCCGCCGCTGGGCCCTGGCTGAAGCCAAACAACAGGATTGGGCGTGGACTGAGACGAACTCAGAGCTCACACCTTACTGGTGTATTTTTGAACTACCGATTTATGTCGGCACAACTTGGGAAGCGCTTGATCTTACTTGATTAGTTTTTCTTACTTGGATTTAGCAACTGCATTTTGATATTGCATGACGTGCTCAGGAAGTAAAAAATGCATGCTTGACTGAGAGATCACCGTTCAAAATTGTTGGCCCTGGCGTAAAAAAATTGAACGTGAAATGAAGGAATCTGAAAATGAAATAAACATTGAAAATAATATGCGTAACAGGTTAGCTTACATAACGTTTCGTTCTGCTACGTAGGCTGTATTGGTTCGCGTTGGCTGAGAATTTGCCCATCAGGCACCGTTTTCGTCGCATTCATGAACGCCCGTCCCACTGGTAGGCAACGTCTGTAAACTTGCGCTGTTAACCCAGTTCGCTATGTTGCTTCACACTCCATCTCGAAGGTTTTCTTACAAACGAACATGTATGAAAACAGCTAAGTTATTACATGATGGAATGTGCGCCTTTTCTGACACCTTTTTATAATGAGGGTCTTTGTGTGCTTTGTCTTTATCATACGTCGAGGTCATTGATGTTACCGTGGTTTTAGCTTTACTACCCTCCTATGACTTGTACTTTTACAGGTTAGGTTGATACAGGTTATGCTTATGCAGAGAGCTTGTGGTACCCTAAACCTCTGTACAACGCGACTCTCCTCCCGTTTAAACATTTCGTCCGCTCTGACCCGTTGTCCTCTCTGAACCCGTGTGCGTTCAACTGCGTGCGTTCAACTCCGGGTATGTCCTAGTCCTGTGACCACTTTGACCTTGTGACCTTCCTGCCCTGCGTTCATTCTGCCAATGTACTGCGACCCCGTGTCTGCCCTGATTCCGTGTCCATTTTGCACCCGTTTCCACTCCGACGCGATGTCCACTCTGAATCCGTGTCCACCCTGACCCCGGTGCCCACCCTGCCGCTGTGTCCACCCAGCCCCGTATCCCCTCTGACCCCATGTCCACCCTGCCCCCGTGTCCACCCAGCCCCCGGTGTCCCCTGTGACCGCGCGTCTACCCTGACCCCGTGTCCCACCCAGACCCCGTGTCCCCTGTGACCGCGCGTCTAACCCTGACCCCGTGTCCACCCTGACCCCGTGTCCACTCTGACCCCGTGTCCACCCTGCTGCTGTGTCCACCCAGCCCCCGTATCCCGTCTGACCCCGTGTCCACCCTGCCCCCGTATCCACCCAGCCCCCGTGTCCCCTGTGACCGCGCGTCTACCCTGACCCCGTGTCCACCCAGCCCCCGTGTCCCCTGTGACCGCGCGTCTACCCTGACCCCGTGTCCACCCAGCCCCCGTGTCCCCTGTGACCGCGCGTCTACCCTGACCCCGTGTCCACCCAGCCCCCGTGTCCCCTGTGACCGCGCGTCTACCCTGACCCCGTGTCCACCCAGCCTCCACGTCCCCTCTGACCCCGTGTCCCCCTGACCTCGTGTTCGCCCTGACCCGCGTCTCTGCCGCTGCAGCGGGCGGTGCGCGAGGCCGGCGGCTCTGGTTGGGAGGATCTGCAGGAGTGCGGCATCGACAGCATCTGCGCCTTCAGCGTCTATGACCGCGACACGCTGGCCACCAAGCACTTCTACCCCCGGTGAGTCCGGCTCCTGGGTGAGGCGCAGCCCGGCGCCGGTCGGCAGACCCGCGGCCGCTGCTGGCGGCTGAGGTCCCGAAGGGGAGGGGGGGGGGTCTTGGCACCGCATGGCCCAGCGGTGCTGACATGGACGTTTGGGTGCACGGCGCGTTGCTGTATGTGAACCATGTGCGTCCCTGATTTCCCCCCATAATACATCCCTGAGGGCAAATGCTACTTGTTCGGACGGTTATGTGGTGTTGCTGGTGTACTTCCAGCATCGCAGTTGGTACCCACATTACGCGTGATTATCGATGCACGCCATTGTTCTAACTATCCGGGTACGCTTTCCTTACAGGTGCCGATGTCCACCGAACGCACCATGTGTGGAGTTCTACGACAACATTGCCACTGGGGTCATCAACTGCAAATGTACTGTTATTGCATGAGCCGACCTGAAGTGGGAGAGGGGTCTGCGGCAGTGGCATCCACCCGCTGGACAAGACACCACGGCTTCGATAAAAACTAACCAGCTACCTCGGCCCGCTTCCGTAGCAAAGCATATCAGTGTTGTGGATCAACTGTGACCGTCGCATTCCAAGCACATTTCGGACATGAAGCAAAAAAAGAATGCGACGAATCACTGCATTGTACCTGTTAACTGCTCCAAGGTGCTATTTATTTTCAGCTTCATCATGATTGGAGCGTCTGACTGATGTTTAGGTGATCCGTTCCTCACGGTAGCCAGATCACTTTGTTGTTGTTTGACACTGCGTCACCATCATCACTGTAGATTAGTTATGATTTAAGTGCGTCAGCTTCTCGCATATGTGCCGCCCTCTGTTACGTCCCAGAAATGGCGGATCCGAGCCATGGTAACTGCTCATTGTTCAGTATTAGTGCTCGACGGAGGCGACTCGGCTCGACCATTGTTTCTTAATAAAACAACTTTCTAACCCGTGAGTGCGTGTATCTGTACGCATTTCAATCTTAGGACGACATGGGATGGTCCCCATGATATACAACCTCTCCCGATTGTTCAGCATAAGTGGTAGACGGTAGACGGGGCGGGTGGTCTTGGTTCCTTTTGTCTGAATGGGAAACGCTGACCTTGAGGTGTCAATACTTGTCGCACTTCATGGTGCTATAAAGGTTATCACCAGAACACTGAATGTATTCGAATCATATTTTTCAAAGCGCTGCTCAACCAAATGCCCCACAGTCGACACCAAACCAACATATCAACATCCTGACAAACCCCAACACGCCTCAGCTCCATCCAACGAGGCAGGAACACACCTCACGCCAATCTGTAGCAGTCGGCATATTTCGGGCCCGTTATACACAGACTGAATGCGCCAAGCCTATATAAGACTTCCAAATATAATTATAGGTTTTAGGGCCCATCGACTCGTTGCGGCTGGTGAATTTTCTGATGCAATCCAGCATAAGCGCGTGACCTGTAGAAATTGTTCGTTTCAGGCCAGCCCAATCTAACGATGATTGCAGAATCAGAGAAATGATATGATACAGAGATTAACACTCTTTCACCGGGCTGTATTATTGTATGGTGAATATGGCTTTAAGATTAAGTGAATTGCTCATTGAAAAGTTGCAAAGCTTCCAGAAACAGCTGGTTAATGTAGCGCTATCTCCAGCCACAAAGAATGCATCTGGCAGTACGTGATAAACGGCATATGTTACCGCGTATAACGTGCCATAGCATCGAACGGTACCTACCACTGCGTAGTGTGCAAATCACAGCAACCACAACAATAATAAAGAAGCCTCATGAGAAGAATGGCCTGATAAATCACCATGTATCGAAATACCGAGCATCTATGCATGCATCGAATAACGATGCGCCTATGTTCGGGTTGTGACGGAAACATCTGTTGATCCCCTGTCCTTGTGTTGCTTCCTATATCTCTACACATGTCGGTCCAAAAACATGAATATCTTCATAATGCCGTACACAATTATCCAGCTGGCTCGCCGACAACCCAGCCATGTACTGTCAGAATGTGTTGCTCTAAGCTCCCGCATCCGTTTTGCGCAGGTGACCGTCAGTGAAGTTTTTATCTCTTCTTCCGATTTACTTTCCTTCCGACCCGACTCGCTCATATTCCTCAGTTGCCCGAGAACCCTATCGGATGACCAATTCCAAATGCGTAAGGTGCACTGATTGCGTTTAGAGCATGGCTCGCTGAGCGACGAGGCCTTTGATGCATTGGATATGGGCCAGGGTGAATGTTCAGGAAATAGCATATGCAGAACTCAAATACAAAGAACAGCTCTGCTGGTTGTCATGCTCGTTCCCCTCTTTATCGAATCGCCAAGTCTGTTCCCAAGTGAACCAAACAAAGACTAAACATACTCGCAACACAAGAGGCAATCATGTCCATGCCATCCATGGCAGAATGGGCGGTGCGAGGATCGTGTTTTTAGCGTCCCACCTCACTAAGGCCCCACGCCTGGTGGTGATGGGTGCTGCAGAAACCATCCCGACCGTGGGGAATTCTGTACAGTGGAACTTCGGGGTGGCTGTCCCTGTCAGTGATGTCGCTGAATTCGGCTGGATGTGAGGTGCTGGCTGCACTCATAGCCCGAAAGCCGACCTGGTTGGGATTTGAGCCCGCACCCACTACCTTCTTGGAGACGATCTCGGGGAACCTGTTTTGATTTGAGCCCGCACCGATGGTCTTCCTGCACACGATCTTGGGGAACCTGTTTTGATTTGAGCCCGCACCGATGATCTTCTCGTAGACGATCTCGAGGAACCTGTTTTGATTTGAGCCCGCACCCAAAGTCTTCTTACACACGATCTCGGGGAACCCGTTCGATTAGTGGATGAATCGGACTCGTACTTGGACTTACTTTTTTGAAGAAAAAGACTGGGATTCAGTGATCCTAAAACCGGATTTTGAAGCAAACGCAGTTAAATCCAAGGCTTTAACTATGGTTAAAGATTACATTTTATAGCAATCACATGTTCCGCAAGATATGGTTTCAATGTGGTATTTAGAAGATGGGGACACATCCCGTTCATCCCGTTCGCATTTGTTGATATTGGGGCGCGGGGGGCTCGCTGTTCGGACTTCTTTTAACTCTTCTCCATCCCCATGTAATATCCCGTAGCGTGATTTTCACCATCTCCTACCCAGTGATATGTGACATGTCCTTGAGCCCCACCAGCTGTTCGAGCTATTACGCCATAACGTGTCAGATGCTGCGTGGTAACCAGACTTTTGACTATGTTGTGGAGCACGGTGTTTTTGTGCTCCATCAGCGCGTCTGTGGCAAGGGATGGAAAATGAAGACAAAAACAATGTTTTTTACGATATCCGAAAATTCCATTGTGGGAGAATCCGGCGAGTGCATATATGGAGGCCAATGAGAAATTGTTCACGCTCAAAAATATTGATCGGGGCAATTCTGAAGCGTTTAATCGAGGCGTCAGAATTGCCGCGTTCAATATTTTTGAGATTGTCTTATTCCATATAATTTCTTTTTGGTGTTGCTCACGTTGTCGCGATCTGCCTAGGAAAACAAAAGACTTCCCGCTTTTTTCTACCGGGCCATAATCACCAAGGTGAAATACTGCTGCCTAGGTCTGAGCATCTTCATGCAAACCCGCTCTGAAGCGAATCGCGATCGCTCGGTCAATAACCAGCAGTTCAAGGTGGACGGAACGAAATTAAATACGGAAGCGTCGAAGATTAGCCAGGGAAGGTTCAACAACGCAGAGCTCGTGATGGGCAAAGCTGCAGGTCTAGTTCAAAAGCCTAAGTTCTGGCCTGAAAAGCCTAAAAAAGCTTTAAAAGCCGAAAAAGCCTAGCCTAAATTCACCGGCGATGTCGGCGCCTTCCAGACGTGATGTTTACCTACGGTGATGTTTTTGTCATTGCCTGTCATTGAGACTTAACGACACACTCAGCTGCTGAGACCATATGGCGTCGCCTGCCTTTCACCCTGGTAAGAACGGCGGTCTCCTTTGGATCACACCCCGTGCCTCTGGTATCCCAGACGCGTAATGGTTAGCGCACTGACGCGCTTACCACTGCACTATCGGCACCAGCGATGTTTTTGTAAGCAATCATCGCACTCTAGTGCAGTTTTCAGCAATGAGGAAAGTAATCCTTCCAGAGTTGTGCTGTCCAGTTTTTACGCCAAATAGTTAGTTTTATGCTAGTTACGCCAGCTAGTTTTTTTTTAGGCACCAGTGCGGGAGCCAATTGATCAGGAGCGACTTAGCCACAACTTTCTCTTGTGTCTACGGTGCAAGTGGAACATGATGTGTGCTACCTTCCGCATCAAATTGGCGTGGGATAAAGCAAATTTTGTTTTCAGCAGCGAGTGCCAATGCACTGCATGAAACAAAGCTCATTTTTAGCCGGACGCACAACACGGACGGGCGCGCAAATTGTCATGCCATTGGCATATATGTAAGTTCTGCTGTTCTTGTGGCTCACCCCCTGGCTCACTGATGCACACGGTACGTTCAAAGTCACTTCTGTATTTGACACTCGTCACGGATACTCCACACAGTCCGCCCCGCCGGGCGTTAGTCCTCGCGCCGGCGGCTCTCCGAGTCTTCCCTTTGCCACTCTGTCCTCTCCTGACGCTGCAGCCGCGTCCCTGGTACGGGGCGCCGGGGCAGGAGAAGGGAACGCGAGCGTCTATAAGAGGCGCTCGCCAAACTACGCAAACATTCACTGACTAGCACATAAATATTCTCTGACGTCTTACATATATAATGCTCCCACCTTTGTAGCGATGCGCGACAAAACCGTGTTCCCATTGGATACCGATGCCAGTCTCAGGGCGGGCGAAACGTAGATATATTTTGGCATCTAGAGAGCAGACAACCTTCGGATACGTAGGGAGACCAGATGCGCAAAGGCCAAGCCGTTGAAAAAATACTGCAAAGCTCGAGCCACGAGCAACGATTAAAAGGTGACGTCCCACATTTTTTACGGAGTCTCGGACTGAAATTGTCATATTGAAGCTCATTCGGTGCAGTTCATAGCCCTGCCCTTCTCCCTAAGCCCCTTTGGTTTCTAAGCTATACATCCGCGAAGATGGGGAGACTATTTCGGGAGAATACTTTAAGATCACCTTGGCAGCCATGATGTTATAGTAACGTCATTCAAATCCTGCCATTCCATAAGCCATGCAGCGTTCAAAGCCAAGGCAAATATAGTGGTCGAGTCGTTAATATCTGTGCTCGCGAGCACGATTTCCAGATGAAACGGCTGTCCGTTGGCTCTCAATCATTGTTGCTCAAGGTACGATGATGTAATCAGACAGTGGCGCACCGTGGAGCATAGTTACTAAACAGATAATTGTTTTGTCTAGAGCGGTCTTTTCCACTTAAAAGTATACAAATAGTTATATGTGAGCTTGTTTCATCATATCTACTACTTGCAGCAAGATCTTCAATCGTGGAACGTTCCCTCGAACATCATACACAAGCGCGCTGAGGACCGCGAGCTGACGTAAGCATTGAAAGCTTACAAAAACTAATGAGGACACCCTGTGCATCTGTGAGATGCGAATCAGTGTTATGTGGCTGGAGGCGATGCTATACTGACGCTGATGGCACGGCTCTGCGTGCGGCAAAGAAAACAGGAACCACGACCACATGTCTTTTCAGTGAATTGAGTGGGCGGAACAGAACCATTATCTCCGGGTGATTTTTGTGTGTAAAGCAGCTTCGAAATGTTAAGTGAAATTCACCCCGTGCCTTTCAGACACATACCAACGTTACAACACGGCCAGCGGCGCTACAAACGCCAACGACGCCACCGCTTCGCGCAGTGAAGCTACCGGGAATCTGTTCACCGATAAGGAAAATGCTAAAACCAAATTGAGACCGTAAGTCTGCCTGTCTGTGCGCATTTTCTTAGCCAGAGGCACAGCGCAGACGGCGACACGGATACTGAGAAATTCGGCGGGTTCAATATTGGCGACTATTACGTCGGTCACAGCGCACGCGAAAGAGGGCGAGGCTTCTGCATTTAGCAGGAACACTCGTCACTCGTGCGGGAGAACCCAACCGCGCACAGGCCTGGAACAGCTCGTGAGCTCAGGACGATGATTTAAGGGGTCTTATGCCGATTTAGGGAGGGAATAATGATGGCGTCCTTCCATGGCTCAGGAAGGACGTGGGGGCAGGCCACAGACCATTTAAGACAGTCCAAATCCGTGGAGTTTTAGCATAAAAAGGGTACATTATAGTCCCCTGTGCTGTGGGAAAGAAAGCAATTAGGATGTAAGCAAAACTGAGCCTGTGCATGATACAGGAAGTCCGCTTTCCAGACGAACCAGATTGAGGCGTACCTTCAACAAGAGTATTTTTGATAACGGGCGCTGTTGAAATAATTTGATAATTCATACGCAAAACAGGCAGCGACGAATGCGAGCGTTTTCCAGACAGTGCTCGAAGCAGTACCGTGCTAGTGCTTGCACCAATACCCGTAGTAGTGCTCGCACCAGTACCCGTAGTTTGCTCAGGGGAGTACCAGCCCAGTAAGCAAAACAAGGTACAGAAGACCGAGGCTTGCATCACGCACCATGATTCCCTCCCCGTCACGGGTAGGGAATTTCCCCTGGAAAACCTCGCCACGCTGTATTAGTCGCCGCCCCTTCATCCGGACGTTGGCAGTGCCCGACCCGCGTCTGCGCTCTCTGCAAGGCAGCCGGTCGCTTTGGCGGTGATGCCACTGCCTGAGCCGCTGCCGTCACCTCCCGGAGCCGGCCCGGCTGTTCATGGTCGGTGTTCGTCTGATTGCTGTCTGCGAACTCGACGGAGAAGAAGACGTGGCTGAGCCCCTGCTCCCAGAGGAAAGCGATGACCATGCATGTGCGCCCATTCGGCATTATCTGAGCTCGGGAATGTTCCCCGCGACGTGAGTAGCCCCACCATCATGCCTGACGTCAAGTCCACTCTTCGTGCCATCGGCAGCTGGGAGTACAGCATTGCGTAAGATCTTAGTAACGCCCGCTTTCGAAACCGCCCCTCGCTAAATAGCCTGAAGTACTGAGGTGCAGTCACTGCGTTCAGGAATGTCCAGCTCTTTATGCTTTGTGCCATGAGTCTCCCTTGTTCGAAGTCCGCTCTGGGAGAGCTCATGTGCCGCGCCTTAGGCCTTCACGCACTCCAAATGGCGCTAGCCCATCCCAGTCAGCACCAGCTCAAACAGCTGTTTTCTCATTTCTTCTTCGCCCTTGATCTTGAAGCCCACCTGGCAGCCCTGTATGATGGATTTGATGTCTGTGCATCTCTCAAGAAGCTCCCACGACCATTCGTAGAAAGTTTTACTTCTTGCCCCAACGCTGTCGATACCTTTCATGTCGCCGTGACCTGTAACCTATTCCTTCGCCGTCACGTCGTGACATTATGCACGCTTCTTGTTTCCTGTCTGACGAGCGTGCCTGCACGCTGGAGGCCGCTCTCCTCTCTGTGTGTGTTCGCTGGCGTGCCGATGACGGCCCCCGTTACCGCACAAGTGGACCATGCCCCAGGTTTTGTCGCTCTCTCCTCCAGTGACGTCCCACAAAAGCTGGCATCGTCCTGGAGGTCGGTCGGATCTAAAACAAAAACGAGAGCCCCATTGCTGAGGATGGTGTGGTTGAGTTGCGACATGAGTTGGAAGGTGCCAACCCTGGGGGGGGGGGGGGGGGGGAGGACTGTACCAGCTTTTACCATCGCTAGGTCGTGGCTGAACCTCTGCTTTCGAAGTACCGGCACATCCTCCCGAGAAATGTTTTGCTCTCGTGACCAGTTCACCCACTTCGCGCTCAACATCTCCGATCGCCAACTCGCTGCTCGTCAACGCGACTCCCAGGTCAATATCTCCGATCGCCAACTCGCTGCTCGTCAACGTGCCTCCCAGCTCAACATCTCCGATCGCCGACTCGCTGCTCGTCAACGTGCCTCCCAGCTCAACGTCTCCGATCGCCAACTCACTGGTCGTCAGCAGGCCCACCGGCTCAACATCTCCGATCGCCAACTCACTGGTCGTCAACATGCCTTCCAGCTCCAAAATCATCGGTATGATTTCGCATGCAATGCCCGGACTCCTGGACACTGCGCTCTGTTGAACTGTCCCATGATGATTTGATGTATCTCGCTGGTGATCAAGATACGTGATCTCACGTGCGTGACTGGTGTCTGGTCACCTGCGTTGACTAAAAGTGACGCTTTGCACCTAAGTTCACCGCCTCTTACCTGCGTCCCAAGTGGCACAAGCTCCGTTCGGGCGAATGTTACCGTTCGTCTGCTACATCCTCCGAACTCTCTGCCCACTCACTTCGGGCTCGGATGAGGCCTCCGATGAGCATGTCGACGCTTCTGTCGCACACACGGATCCGTCCGCTCATTTCCACATTCCTCACGAGATGTCAGGAACCGCTACTTTGCCCCCCCCCCCCCCTGGGGGGTCCACTTTCCCCTCGGTGTGCCCCCATCCACTGCCACGTCCCTATATTGTCTCGTACGTCCCGGCCGCCCACCGTGCCGTTCCGATGTTTTTCGTTCTGTTTTTTTTTTAATTATTAAAATCCTTTCGACCAGAAATGATCATTTCAGGGGTATGGGATGAAGGAAATGGCTTACGTGGGGCGGACCTGCATGTGCCTGGGGGCCAACCGCCGGGCTTTAACCCGCACTTGCGCACTGGGTATCCCGTCGAGGTCCTCCTTCCCACGGGGCTCCCGGCCCGCTCGTGGCCGACGCATGCAGCCTGTCCCGGACAAGCGGGGTGTCGCGAGGATGCAGGGCGAAGCGACACAGAGGATAAGAGCGACGGATGTGTGCCGTTTCGATGATTTCGCCGCTCACCTTCGTTAGGTATCTCCCAGTACGGTTCTGTCTGTCCACGCTCGCGATGCCGATGTTTGCTTTCGCGCGTTTTAGAATGCCGCTCCATACTGTACTCTGACGTTAACTATTTCGCTGACGTTCTGTAGTGTAGGAAACCTTGTCGCATTACGCAAAAAGGACAAAAATGCGATCACGCGAGTTCGGCGGGGAGTTTGCGTAGAATGTACTGCCACCTCGCGGCAGCTAAGTGCCTTAGTGTTTGATGGTGGCGCCGCGCGTAGATGGATAACGAGCGGTTGGTCTCGCCCCCTTCGTTGCGTTTTAACATACTTGTCACGCACGTCCTGATCGCGAACGACACAACTCAACTTTCTGAAAGACGCTTCCACGTTGGGAAGACTCATAGCCGCGAACCCGCGGCTTGATGTTCCTGAATGGGTAAATGAGATACTGGCCATTCATGTCTCGAGCGGGCACGCACCTAACCGGATGGAGGTTCGTTCTGATATGCGGCAACCTCCGCTGCAGCGTCGCAAGTGATCCGCATGTTCACATTGGGTAACTGTGCCTGCTCCTCCCCCCTCTCCCCCCACCCACTTGAGATCGATCGAGATGGAATGGGAAAAGGATAGTCAAGTTGGGTACTGGTAAGGGTGCATCAAGTGAGACGGTTACAAACATATAAGTAGGCATATTAGTATATCCCTTGCATAGGCAGATCCTGGGGGGGGGGGGGGGCCCGGCCCCCCGGGCATGGTCCCCCAAAAACTCTGAGAGTATGTTTTGGCCCTCCAAAACATTTTCAGAACTTCATAAAAGCTTCGCCTACTTGCCGTCTGTTTTAACTTCGATGGTGCGGTATCAAACATTTCTTTCCGTTCCGGAAAAAACTTCATGAAGAAAAGTCGGCAGCGATTTGAATATCAAAACAAAACGTATGTTGACGCGGCTTAGTCACATTCGGTGCAAACATCGTGTTTGATAAGTGCACTGGACCTCGGAACCCACCCCAGCCAGCTGGCGACGAGCGGTTGCCCCCACCCCCCCAAAAAAAGAACCCCAGGCTAGATCCGCCACTGATCACTTGTGGCATTAAAACATGTAAAAACTGCTGCATAGCAGGAAACGTAAATTACTTGCATGCCATCTTCACAAACAAGTGCCCATCCAGCTCTGACCTCCCGCTGGGTCCGGGGATCCGTCTGCAAATATATGTGATGCGTAGGCATGCCGAGAAGAGTACTGACTGTCATGGAACAACACATACGCCAAGTTCATAAACCAACAAAAAACAAATCAAGTGTTTCGTTTATCCTATCAATCCAAAACTGATATTGACGCCAGTTTCAGCACATCTCGTCGTGGTCCAAACGCCCGACACGGAGAAGAGGTCATGCTCCATGTGGCCGTCCAAAGGAAGGCAGATAAATTCGTGCGCGAGAAAGGCTAAGCGAGCAGGACAAGCGCCACCGTGAGGGAACCCGCCAAACATGCCTTGCCCACTTATAGCAACACGTAATCGGCGAAGTGACGAGTTGGAAAGCGTTAGTGCCGGGCCAAGGCATAAGACGCCAGTACCGTTTTAACCTCCTGTCACGTTGCGTGTCAACAGGTAAGTCTACTGAAAACCCCTGCAGAAAATCCACTGCT